TGCGACGGGCTGATTCTCCGTGTAAGGGGTCCTACTGACTGTCTAAGATTAAGAAACTGGAGTGAAACAGAGTTTCAAGGATGCCCTATGCTCCAAGTGGGAGCAACAGAAAGACAGATGGATGGACGGGTAGATAGATAGATATGGGATTCACAGTAACTTGATATGCAGAAGAAATCGATCTCTCAATCGGAGATGCACGCCACTTTATTCTCACAGAAAATATCCATTAGAAATCTAGAAATGCCATGTTAGCAGCATGCGAAGCTGGTCAGAATGCTGTAATGGTCAACGTTGCATCACTCTACCCACGTGAATGAAATGATCGAGGCATGTAGCACGTGTGGAAGAGTTTTAAAAATGCATACAGAATGTTAGTTGGAAACCTGAACAAAAAAAACACTCATTATTTGAGGGATATAGGCGCAAATAGGATAATATCGAAATAGATCTAATGCATGTAGCCTGCACCGGAAAGGTTAGAAATGCATACGACATTCTGATCAGAAAAACTGAATAGAGGAACCATTTGGGAAACTTGGGTGTTAACTGGGGGGTAATGCTGATCTTATCTTACAGAATATGTGGACAGGATTTATAGCGTTCAGGACTGAAATGAACACGTGTGTCTCATGAAAGGCGAAGACTTTCTGGACAACCTGAGCGATTATAAAATGTTCAAGGACCTTGCTCCAAAGAATTTGATTTAAATTACTTAGCAGTAACATAAGTCTTTGTCGCACAGATAGAACCGATGTATGTAGCCGTACTCGGTATTTGTAAATACAGTAAAACATCTCGTTGGTAGGTTAAAAGAATTCAGATTTTGGAAGACTTGCAATAAAGTAGGAAACATAACTTGCATGCTTCCTACTTCATGCACGTTTCTAGCTTGACGTATTTTTTCGACGCTGAAGATGGAAGTGACATATTTCTCCGAAGCGTTGGTTTCGTCATTTACTCACAGGACTTTCATTCCATAAGGGTGCCTCCTCATGGTATGGCATACTCTCAAAGATGTGTTATGCACACTGTGCTATGTTATTACTTTCCGATCTAGTTCTCGGGAGATGATAACTACAGTAGTTTTGTAGTGTACAAACCATCCGTGTCCAGAGAGACTTAGTTGCTTTGAAACAGATCGTAATGCGGAGCCCCCATGGAATATATGTGATAGAGTCATTAAGTTCGTGGAATATGGTTTTATCGCATCATATTATAATGTATTCACATACACTTACACAGATCCAAATAGGTCCTCAAAATAGTTGCCGTTGGCCGCTATGCAAATCTGCCAACGTTGATATAGCTGCCGAAAACACTGCCGAAACATATTGGCAAGAAATTCCCGTACGGCGTCTCTTGTGGCAATGACCACCTCCTCGAGCGACTGAAATCTACGACCACGTAGCTTTGCTTTCACGCGGGGAAAGAGAAAGAAATCGCATGGTACGAGATCAGGTGAGTACGGAGGGTGTGGCGAAACGGTGACCTGTTGCCTTGCCAGTTCCTCTTGGACATGAACAGAGCGATGTGCAGGGGCGTTGTCGTGTAGCAACAACCAATTCTTCCTATGCGAAATGTTTCGCTAGGGGATTTGCCTAGTTTCTGCCAGAACTTGATATTTGTTCGTTGTTCAAACTGCCACATTCTCGATTTCCACCACTCGCATTTAACTGCAGTACACAACAGAGGCCGTAGTTCTGCTTACACTGTTTCTACACAACTGCCTCTTGCTGTGACGAGACATGAACTAACAGGGCACCATATCGTGCCTCAACCTATCCGCTGTAGTGCACTACAAGGACACTTTGCGGCCATTCCACGAACTTATTGACTATGGTGGTAGTAGTAGAAAGTCGGTGAACGAAAAGTATGCCGTTCACAGTGGTCGCGCGGTCTAAGGCAGAAATGTCTTCGCCTGCTCGAACGCTGGGATCATGGGTTCGAATTCCACTCAAGGCATGGATGTCTATGTTTATTTTGTGTTTGTGTTAGGTGGCGGCCTTGCGACGGGTTGATCCACCGTCCAAGGAGTCTTACCGATTGTCTTAGATTAAGAAACTGAAGTGAAACGAAGCGTTTCACGGATACCCTATGCTCCAAGTGGGAGCAAGAGGAATAGAAGAACGAACGAACGAACGAAAGTATGGACACATTTATAAGATTGTCCCAATAAATATAAAAGGTAACGGTAAAGTTGTCCCTGTGCTTAACCAATTAAGCAGTAAGCCACGAAGGCGTATGGGGCAGTGGTTGTATAGATCCACATTTTATTAACCCAATAAATAAACCATTTCATTGTTTCTGTAGTTTTGAGGAATATGTGAGAGAGGAAGTAGTGCTTTTTATAGTTGTTTGTGGTGACAAATTTAAAAGCAAAATACCTTAATTTCTCGGACGTAATTGCAGAAAAACTTCACCGCGTTTATAGGAAACCAATTAGACCATCCTGGGGTAAGAATTAATCTCTATATGCTTGGATATTCTCAGTTTTTCTTCTATTTATAATACAGCATTTTCAACGAAGAGAAATAATAAATCAACTGGCCTTCGGTTTGTAGACTTTGGTGTGCGTTTAACTATACAACACTGGTTCTTAACCCGAGGAGCGTGGAGGTATTCCATATCTCCTGTTATATAATTTTACATACGAGTATATGTATAGAATATACCGTTTGCTGTTCGAATTTTTGCAGTAATAAAAAGAGAGTTGGAGAGAGTACTAAATAATAAATTCAAACATTTTTCAATTTGTAAGCCTTTATTTTCCACTCGTCATGGATGAGCGAGCGAGTGTTATTGTTGAGTCTACGTATGAGGGATTTACAGGAAAAGTTCCGCACACTCTTAAATCGCAGTGAAAGGTCATCGTCAGGTTCTTGTGTCTTATGGGGAAAAAAGCTTCCTACATAATAGGGCAGGAGAATGGGTGAGCCTGAAAACACGTCTGAACATGGCAACGAAAAATTCAATTCCCTGAAGGAACTCAAACTTCGACGGTCAAGCCTGTAGCCAGTCACTTTACTGAGATATCCCGGTGAATTACAGAATAGCAGATATAAAGATCACAAAATTAACCAAATTAAGGGACAAGGGATAAAGCTCACCAAAGTGTTTCTTGCGAATCTCAGTACGAGAAACCAAACGGTACAATGGACCTACTGCCTACTTTGAATGTCTGAAGTTACGAGCATTGTGGGACCGAGATCGTACTTATATCTGTGTTCCTCTGAATGACGGCTGATCGCCTCATCGTAGCGGCTGACCAGAGTATTACATAAGCTGAAAGTTATGCAGTATCGTTAAATTTAGGCGTGACCAACGTAGGTGTTGGGGACTCTGGTATACCGCATTATCATGGGTACAAGAGATACACATACAAGACAACTTCCCAGTTTTGGAACAGCAACGAAAATGTGATTTAAAGATTTTATTATATTAATACGTCTATACGTGAGTATGTATCAGAACACGTAGTGATAACGCAATGCGTAAACACTGCCTACGGCGACGAAAGTTGATTGACATTACATACTTCGGGAATACCACAACTTTCTTTTCATGATGGACTTTGTTTCAAGAAATCCTCCGTTAACATTGCTTTATAAGTTACAACACTGAAGAGTTGCACATAGCTACTGTATAACTGTTAATCAGATGAAAGGCCATGTTTCGTTTTCTGATTTCAAGTACCAAAGGCAATCGACACTAGAAGGCCCAAAGCTGCCACGTGAGATGTATCATGTTTAGCGTTGAAGGGGTTAATCTCAAAACGATCAGTTAACACCGTGAGATTTCATAAATAAAATTGCTGACCAGAACTGAAAGTCAGTCTTAACACTTCGTGCATTCCTTGATAGTCATTTGTACATACAATCAGTTCGCAAGGAATGTTGTTACCGAGAAAAAGTCCTCTTACTATTGTATCTTTGGGGATATACGGAATACAATTTGTACCATTTGCATTAATCAAGTTAATTTACTATCACAACCATAGTCATAATAAATACAAGCAACAGAATAACTTATACATAAACTGAATTTACTATAAGATTCTATGCACACGTAAGCAGGCCTAGAGTACAGTTTTGTTAATTTTACGAACTGGGACTATCATATGCAAGAAATAATTTTGTCATTACTCAATTGAAACAGTCACCTTTATCAACACGTGCGCGCGCGCGCGCGCACACACACACACACATATATATATATAGTCACGTGTTTGAGTGACTAAGACGCGGGTTTGGATTTACTGAATACTTACAGGTCGTAACTACAATTAATTACTATACTATTGCTGCTTTACAAATATACAATCACTACACACTACTCTCTTTAGTCTATCTGAACTGCTTTTCACGGGTTTATAACATGGGAACTCTAACAGTCTCACTAAATCACACACTCCCAATATTACACATAAATAAAGTCTCCTGATCACACGTTAAGTCCTCACAGGCCGATTTCTAGTTCTTCAACTATGAACTTCTTGTGGCTGTTTCCTTGATTGCTTGTTCGCGTGCTTCTGACTGTCGCCTAGCAAGGAGCTATAAACATTCGTCCTATTGTTGCGTAATGGACCATATTTACAGAGCTGTTGCCTGGCAACGCGTTGATCAAATCCGTGACAATATTTATATTTAAAAATTCCCTTACTACCTCCCTTTCCCCTCCCAAATAATCTAATCTACTTCACGAAATCGGTTGGTTAATGACGCTTAGGAAAACTTCGAACTTTATTTTAAGAATTACACTGCCTGGGCGATATGCCAAGTAGATGAGAGTTCAAGCAGGTGGTACGCACAACTACCACTGCTCCTTGAGAGAGTTACAAGATGACACCTGCCGCAACTAATGTTATCATTCAATAAAAGACAGCCAAAACACTTGTATTTTGATTTCCACTTTCAAATTTGAAGCCACCTTGTACCTAGCGTATTATAATCTATTAAACCATAGTCAATTTTTGTCTTTTTCTTTCAGAAGTCAATGAGGAAATCTTCGCCAGTGAGGATGGTCTCCTCTTACACAAACCAACGAAGGTCGACAGGGTAACGCGGGATGTAGGAGGTAAGTTAGTGACATTTTGCAACTAACATAACCTAACACACGAATTTCTTCAATTTAAAGGAACTGCATAATTATTGTTAAATAACAAATTTGTGTGTACAACAGACCTACATAACTGTATGGACATTTCGTTCCTTCATCTGCAGTTTTTGTAACTGATTAGCGTGGTCTTAACTTTTAAATAGCCACTGACGACAAATTCGATTAAACTGATAATAATCATCAGTTGTGTTCTTACTGCTACATTAATTTTAGGCTGTGATGCTGCGTGGTATTCTTTATTTTGTAGTTCTTTAATATTCGCTGACTAGAGTTAGTATTAACTTCAAAACAATATATTAGACCAAATGAACTTATTTCTGCCGTTGTTGTTGCTTATCGTGACAAGGTCTTTAAGGAAAGGCTCGAATGGGGAAAACTTGTTCACTTTCCTGGAAACCTCGGTGCTTGGTTCAAAGTAACACGTTGCTCCCTATATTTTTAGCTTATTACTTTCAGCATTTGTAAAAATGAACATTAATACCAACGATGGAGTGAAAAATTATAAAGAACGAGTTTAAATTGTAAGCCTACGCCAATTAAAATAAAATCACTGGGTTCCGCTACAATCATCGTATCCTTTACTGGCTGCATACGAGTAAGCTGCTTGCCCGCCAAATCTCGCGTCATTAGACTGATATTAGATCATTTATGGATGCTGTTCCAACTACAGAAGTTATGCAGCATTGAATGAGATGGAAATATAATTACGATGTTGTGTACGCAAGGATATGGGAGAAACTGATGACCTATTTAATGTAATATTCTTGTGATCACATGGAGGGTGAGCAAAACTATAAACTCTTAAACATATCCGTTAACTCTGCAAATATCTGAACGTGGTACCTCCCGAACACTAAGCAGCAGTTTCGATCACAATACCGAGATGCTCAGTGACACCCTAAGATAATCCATAACTGGTCGTCATAATATATCTGGCCTTCTTCTCTTTCTGTGCTTCTACGTACCCACACTTTAGTAGCATGGGTAACGGGGGTAAAGCGGGCAAGGCGTGAAGCTGACCACTCACCTCCAATTAGTGCCAAGGCCAAGAAAACATGGATCTGGGACTTTATCTTTTATGCTTTGGTACCTGTATTACGACGCCGGTCACGGTAGCCGAGCGGTCTAAGGCATGTACTGTCTTCGCTCGCTTGGAAACCGGGATCGTGGGTTCGAATCCCACTCAGGGCATGGATGTTTGTGTGCGTTTTTCTGTGTTTATGTACAGGTAGATGCCTTGCGACGAGCTGATCACCCGCCCAAGGAGTCATACCATATGTGTAAGATCTAGAAAAACCGAAGTGAATGGAGAAGTTCATAGAGGTAGGCCTAGGCCCACTGGGGCTGTAGTGCCAAGGAAAAAACTGTATTACGATATCGCTGAAACATCGCTCCTATTAATCTGTGCGGAATTATGTATTTATAATAATATAAGTTGTCTGAAATTACTCGCTGACACAAGTTCGTGAGCATTTGTTCAGAACCACTGTTACGGATTGTCTGTAGAACTGCACTGTACATTTGTCCTCAATAAATTTTAAATGTATAACACGCTTGTAATATCTTACAGATGTCCTAAAATAGTGGTCTCTTAATGGGCTAATTCGTGCTACAATTTCATTCTCTTTTGCTTCAGATCGAAGCTGGAATATGAATTCGTCCTCATATTTTGAGAAATAAATGTCAAATGTCTTTATATATTAGTTTTAAAGTCTTTAGTTATCTGTAAGTTTTCTTCTGTTCTTAATTAAATGTCGAGCGTGCAGAGGAACGCTTTTGTCAGATTAATTATTATCTAGTAAGTTCAGGCCACTTTCAAACACTTTTCTTTCAGTTCAAGTCAATGCCTCGTATTAACTCTCTAAAAGGCCAGTGATAGCTACCTATACACATTCTTTCAGAATTTTTGGCAACACATATATGAAATATATTCTTGGGGTAGGAACCAAAGCTTCAAATATAATTTCACTGTGATTCTCAACAGTCTGTCCTGTCACTCACTTCCATTGACATCTTAAGCTTCGATCAATACGTATTACCAAGTTCTAAACAATGTTCAACATGAGAAGGTAGTCACTGAGTAGGTGTCTGGCTCACGGTAGTCTCATTTTCCTACTAAATGGCGCAGCCCTGTATTATATTATGATATTTTTTTATTGCTAGTGGGGTGGGACTAAGTCCCTTGTACTGCGGCCACTTCTGGCCTACTGTACCAGCCCCAGATGATAGGTGAGGGTGATTGTGGAGCAATTGGTGGAATGAAGATTGGCAGAGGAAACCGAAGTACTCGGAGAAAAATTGCCTCAGCGCCAATTTGTCCACCNCTAGCAGTAGTTTGGTTATTATGAACGGGTATATAGCCCATAGCCGGTCACGGTAGCCGATCCAGACCCCCGTGTGGAGGCGGGGTCGAATACCTCCACCGTGACCCTGCGAGTAGTAGGAGGCGATGAAAAGGGAAGTCTCAAAATTGAGACCGTAAAATATGGTCGCGAGTCCCAAGGGACTCAGACCCGAGAAATATTGCACTGGGTAGGGCCAGCAGCAGACCCGTCCTCTCGTCAGAGAGGTCGGCCCACAGAAACAAGACTGTATATGCCAAACAGTAAGACTTACTGACTGACTGACTGGCCGTCAGTCGCAACGTGACTTGGACTTGGTAGCCGATCGGTCTGAGGCATGTACTGTCTTCGCTCGCTCGGAAGCCGGGATCGTGAGTTCAAATCCCACACAAAGCATGGATGTATGGTGTGTGTATGCGTTTATTCTGTTTGTGTTGTCCTGTCTTTAGGTAGAGGCCTTGCGACGAGCTGATCACCCGTCCAAGGAAACATACCGTCTGTGAAATGAACACGAAACTGAGAAATCAGCCCTGTGCTCCAAAGTGGGAGCGAGAGGAGAGAAACAAAATATAGCCCATATATTTCTTACCGCGTAATGAGCAACGTGATTGCACTAATTGAGGTGTTATTTTAAAAAAATCTAAGCTGTCTTGTTTTGTCTTTTGAGTGTGTGTGTTTATTTTGTTTCTCTCTTTGCACTTTATAATTAGCCTTAAGCTGAAGAATATGCATGAAAATAAATAAATATAGAAATTATTATTATTATTATTATTATTCATTCTTCAGGGGACTGATAAAACATTTGAATTTGTTTTCAAATCCAGTTATCTTTAACTTGCTATTGACGAAAGTTTCCTCTGCACTGAAATAGTTTTGTCATAATCTTTCTTGTGTTTTACTTCCTTTCCATGTTTTACTGACAATTTCATCTCTTGTTCTTGATCTGTCCTTTCTGTCACATCAAACAGATGTCACCACCGTCCTGCTGGTGGATAACATAGGGAGACATCGAGATGGTCGATTTCATAAAAAGCCTGTTGGTCTTTTGACATCAACAGCTCGTACGTTTGTCCAAGAGGGTACGACCACCGAGTTTGCAACACAGGTCGTAGGCACGACCCTTGATAACGGCCGTCTGTACGCTCAGGTGGTTACAACTAGCTCCAGGGTGTTCTATCATGGCGACTCTAAGGGTCGAGACAAAACAAGGACAAACCTGGATGAACTGGTTCTCCCATCAATATCCCTCGTGGCCAATATAGCACAGCCCACACTACCCATCCAAGTCATACCCTCCCATAATGGGGATTCGGTCATACAGGTTGAGCCATTCAGTTACGCCAAATCTGGTAACATCTACCAGACTGCAGTGAATGGACAACATACACCTCATTCTAGATATATTGGAGAACTCACGAGAGCGGACAGTAACGTTATAAGTACGTCAGTAGTCAGCCGTAAACAGTCTGATAAGGATGAACGGCCCCTGGTAGATGGTAGAGACGAGCTAGAAGCATTATTCTTGCAAGCAAAAGCAAAGAAACACATGAGCAAGTACTTCCCTCCAGGTAAGGAGGACGAGAAAGAAGAATCTGAGAACCTCGTGAAAGCAAAACAGACGGAATACTTCAAAAAAAGAAATACTGGAGACGCCGAACACTCTGAAAGTAACAACTTAAAACCTGCTCGAGTTGTGAGACCTTTGGACGATTTGCCGACATATACAGTTCGTCATGAGTTTGCCCCAAGTGGATTTTCAGTCGATGAAAACGAAGATTCCACTGAAAACCATAATTCAGAGACAAATATTCGAGGTAATCGGTTCAGATCCGGAAAAGCCTTCTTCGGAGGAAACAAGATAGAACGTAGGAAACTAGATACAGTGACATACCTGGGATTCTCAGACTTCACAACTACAGTTGGGGACACTGTAATAATCTTTATGCCTCATACAACAGCTGTTGAGGGAGCAAATCAAGGCCGGAAAGCTACATCAATATCAGGAGATGCGACCCTTGCTCCGGAGTTGCAACACGTAACTACAGAAAACCCAGTGTCTGTCGTGACAAGCGTCAAAACGTTCATGTCTCACACTCCTGGAATGGTTACTCGCACAGTCACTGGTCACTCGCTCAGCATGCAAACTGCTTTGCCGACCATGGTGGTGCTTCCAGAAACACCATCTCAGTCAATCACAATCCGCCGCGACCACAAAGCACTGCACTCAGTCCAAGTTGTAGAGCCAGTCACAGAAAACTCACCAACTACTTTCGAAGACGCGGTTCAATATTTGGCTCATGAGCAGATGGAAATGGCTGAGAAAATACCGACAACAACTACAGGACAAGAAATTATTACGGAACCATTTTTCGGTAGCGATACTATCGAACCCTCATCGGTATCTTATAACGACGATATTGAAGCTTCCATAGAGGACATTGCTGCAGGCAGCTCTATTGAATCTAGCACAGGAGAAATCGGAGTACAAGCTACAGATTCCTTGGCGACGTTCTCTACTGCGCAGACTCAGTTGTTTGATACCGGTGGTGCTGAATTTCCATTGGGGCTGATAAAAGTAATTGGTGGCACTGAGGCTCTAAATGGAACTACAACGCTGTTCACTTCCCTAGTATATGGAACGTACGTCGATGGAAATTATGCCCAGATCATACATTCAAAATCGAGTATATTCTACTACAATGACAATACCAAAGTCGATATAACAAATGCACACAAATCTATACAACCTACCGCCGTTCTTGGCACATCGCAGAATTCTGTTACCCCTTTTACTCATTCGCCGGGAGAAACAACTTCAAAAGGCACTGAAGAGACCGAAGAAACGACAACACCAGCAGCACCATCAATAACAGTAGATTTCACTGATGAGTTACTACACACAACCGAAGATAATTCAGTCATAACTCTAGAAGAATCAACAATAGGAAGTGACAGTAAAAGAACAACACCAATCGATGAAGTTTTGAGTACAATACCGACAGAAGAACCGGCGACAGAGTCTGACACTGATTCTATTAACGAAGTAGAGACTGGAAGGAAGATAAACACAAAACCAAAGGAACAGGTCATTGTTGAAAACTACATTAAGAACAAAGAAACAAATAAGGAATCTCAGACAACGGATGATGGAGGACAGGAAACAGACACATCTCCTTCATCAGCTACTGGCAGTCTATTAACACAGCTTATACCCACCACCGCTTACAAAACGTTTACGTACCTTACAACATTCTTTATTCCTGCGGAAGGAACGTCTACCACGACATCTATAAGATCTAGAGAAGTTACTAGCACTGAGATAAGTTACATAACACGAACATTAAATTCTGATGCCGAAACATACACAGAACAAACAAACCTGAAACAGAAGAGTGCGATAGAGCCATCGAGTACTGCCATCACTCCAACAGCATCTTTAGCAGAGGAAGAAAATTGGCATACCACACCAGACAGCATCACTGTTGGTACAGCAAATCAGGAAGAAGGAAATATGATAACAACACCAGAGTTACCAGAACAAAAGACAACAATGATACCCGAAGAAGTAAATACTACAACACCCATTCCAACGACTACTCCAGAAGATAATGTTCATGGCGAAGAAGACGAGATTGAACTGATATTCAAAACTCTCTACACCACATACACATACCTTACAACCTTTTTCCAGGAATCTACAACAAGCGTATCAAGTCGAAAAATGGTTGTTACAAACGTCGTAACGTCTACTGTGGACCACAGTTACATATTACATGCATCTGATCCAGCTGTTGCTGGGTTATTTGTCCATGAAGACGGTTTTCTGACACCGTCGAAACACTTGTTACCGTCTATAGAACCAATACCCACAAGTGTTGGTGTAGGTAGGCCAACAACAAAATACTTCCCAGATTTAGGGGTAAACTCTGATGATGATTTATTCTCAACGGTCATAGAATCTGTAGACCTTGAAAAAGAACTATCAACTTTAACGCCGACATTAAATAAATATGGAGAATCGGAGGTTCTTGACGATGAACTGAAAACATTCTACACGACTTATACATATTTCACAACTATTTTGGTTGATGGCGAAACTGAAATTTCGAGTAGAACGGAGATATATACGAATATCGTAACGCCAAGTGGCCACCTTATAAGTCCAACTGTGTCCAGAATTGAGCCTACAATATCGCTTCGTGAACCGTTGTTTGAAAAGGGCTCAGATCCAGATGTGTTTGACCAAGTTGAAAATCCGCAAAAACACATCCTTTATTCAAATATCGTCGAGTCTTCTCAAGACATCACACATGTTAAAACACCCGTTTTGAAATCTACACCTCATTATTCATACAGCAGCACCATCTCTCGGTCATATAAATCTACGACTGGAAGTTCAAATGTAAATACTGCCGACGTGGACGACGAGGAAAATAGCATTTTCCCAAGAAACACACCGATATTTGATAGTAGCTATGCGACTATATCAAGAACGCGTAATACTATCACCACCCCAACGATACTTGAGAAAGATGTATCGTCTAAATCTCCAATAGCATCCAGGGAAGTAGATAACGATAACCTATTTACACCTGTGATCGTAGCATCATCAGTGGTTTCAGGCAAACCAGTTGTTGAAGAGGCAATGAGCACTAACGTCACGAGCAGCAGCTCTGATGGTGGTAGGGTTATGATGCTAGAGAAAAGAAATGATAAACATCTGTTACTTGACGACCAGATCAGCTCCGAAAGCAATACAGAAGAAACTGAGCCAGCTCCAACGTTGCTTCTTCAAACAAGCTATACGACGTTCACGTACTTCACTACAATATATAAAGGTAGTTCTTCGAGTGACGTCGTCAGCCGTTTAGAGACAGTGACTAATGTTGTAACAGAAACACTGACTCCTTCAGCGGGCCTAACAGAAAGGATTGCTCCAGAAGATGCCACTCTGCCCATAACGTATTACACAACTTTCACTTATTGGACAACATTATATAAAGATGGCAGTACTGTCGTTACAAGTAGAGAAGAAACAATCTCCAACACAGTCACACCTACTGTGAACCCTTCTTCTTCGAGCGCAATACCTTTAGAAGTTACCCCAACACCAACATTAACAGAAACGATTAACCCGTCAGCCACACCTGCTTTAGTAGAGCCTGCGACATTCTATACGACGTACACTTATTTCACAACTTCTTATATTGGTAACAGTACCGTTCTGAGTAGCCGACTTGAAACGGTGACGAATATTGTAAACGAAACTGTCAGTGATATTACAGGTCGCGCTGCTGGCAGTGGCGCGACTGAGAATAAGATTCCTGAACAAACGATGAAAAGTGAGACGCCTCAGCAATCACCACTGCCACTACAACCAACTGGTCTTCTATCGACAATTCTAACCAGCGAGACAAACAATGGCATCATAACGTTATTCTCAACAGATGTATATGGCACATTCATAGACGGCCTATATGCACAGGTGCTCGAAAGTTCCACACAGGTAGTCACCCCTACTCCTGTCTCTTCAAAAGCGAACGTACTCTTGAAACCTACGGGAGTTGTATCTCTGAATGAAGGCAGGATCGTGGATGCTGATGGAGTCAGTACAACTTACTTCACTACGAAAGCAATCGGAACTTACATCGACAATCTCTACGCGGAAGTGGTTGACAGCACAACATCTGTTAATGTGAACACTGAGAGAAAATCTGTTCTTGCAGCAATAAGCCCAAGTACGACAGAAGGCGTGAAAGCACAAAAGACTGGATTAGTTCGCATTGTCGAAGGTTCTATTGTCAAGGACCAAACTACTACGTTCTATGAATCGAGGGTGGTGGGTACCGTAATCGACGGCAGATACGCTCAGATCATTGAGAGCACTTCGAGTTTCAAAGTGGCTGTTACACCTACCTCTGTGCCCGATTTTAGCATCAGCGAATTAGCACCCACGTCAACATTGAGGCCGGATGTCTCTGCAACACTGACAGTGTCTTCAACCACATCACCTACACCTGCCGTCATAGAGAGTTCACTCAGTGAGGGAAGTGATACAACTGCGAGCGATACAGAAGATGAAGATACTGGAGAAGACACTGAGGGCGATGAAGATGCTAGTAAAAATCGTAAGAAATCCAGGTTGACGTTTTCAACAAAAAAGAGGACGTTCACGCCTCAAATCAGGCCATTCGCATCAAGAAACAGACCAACTTTTAACCCCAAGAGAAAGACGGCTATAGGTAGCAGTGCTACAACAATAACACGGGCAACAGTTACTCCTACTGTAACAGCAACACCAGCTGCAAAATCTGAAGTCTCCGGTGGTGGAAAGGGAAGATTCAATAGCAACAGACGCGGAAGTTCTACGGGTTTATACAAGACAAATTACAGCGACATCAGGGCAACACCTTCTGGGACAGGGGGAAGGAGAAATTCCCGCACAAGGGGAACCACGGGAGGTGGCGGATCTTCCTCATTTTCCACGCACTACGCTGGCAGAGGCCGTAGTTCTCAAGCGTCATCTCGTCCCCATGCTACATCGACACCTGGTCTGGCAGGGGCTTCGAGAAGGGGAGGATTCTACAGAAGTTCTTCAAGCAGAGGTGCAGGGTCTTCGGATTACCCATTCAGAGGCTCCACAAGCGGATCCCACCATGGAACAAGCAGCTCTCGCTTTCGTATCCGACCCACTCAGTCGTCATTTCTCGGACGAACTAGCAGCACTACCTTTACCACGCCCCCCACCGACGAAACTCTGGAACCTGACGACGATCTCACTACCGCAATAACTGAAGAGACACCGCAATACACCGAAGATGAGCATGACTCACCAACACATCCAATATCTACAACCACGGAATCTTCTCGCCGAAGCAATAATCCTCTCTTACGGTTTAGGCGGCCGCCTACTTTGCGAGCACCACAGACAACAAGCACAACTCCGAAACCTACTACAACACAATCTTCTAAGAGAAGTTCATTGTTACGAAAACCAGCAAGTGAAAGGGGATCTACTACTGCCAGACCTCGTACCAGTAATAGGTTTAATCCCGTGATTAATAGGCAAAGGCCTGGCAATAGCTTGTTCCCTCCCAGAGGACTGCTAAAGAAACAAGAAAAAGAAGATGACGAAGAGGCGAAAAAGGAGAATGAAAATGAGGAACATAAGGACGAAGAAGTCGCAGAGGAAAAGGAGGATGAAGAGGATATTAACGACAATGATTATGAAGGATCAGAAACGAATGAGTCAAAAACGGAAGCAAATAAGTCAGCCAATAGAAGGAGCGGTAAAGCATATAATCCTGTTCACATCCGTCCATTTGTAGGCTTCAATCGCAAACCACGTACAAAGCGGCAAGCAGAGTATGGCACTAAAAGTGGCAGCGGATCGGCAAGAGGTTTCACTCCTCGTTACCGCCGCCCTGGGTTGTCATCAAGAAGTCCACAGGAATCCACTGAAGATCCGGAACTTGTCCAGGATCCCAAGCCAAAAGCATCGAATTCCGGGCGGTTTACACCTCGACCACGATCTTCTGCGTCTGCGCAACCCAGAGTTAGACCTACGTCAGCATCTTCAAATACGGGTAGGTCACAATTTACGCTTAGGAAGGAGGATACGTCTACAAATAACCGCGCAAACTTTAGGCGTCCTACAACGGCGTCACCACGGAGAAGAACAAATAACAAACAGTCTGAACCAACGACATCAGCACAGAGACCCAAACCACCGAGGCTCAGGACTCAATCAAACAGCCGCCAATCAGAAACCACGACACATTCGCGGTCTAACTCCCGCCGTAATCCCAACACTAGTAGGAGAGGGTCCACTCGAACAAGATACCGAGGAGATACTTCAGACTTTGATACATACACGTACTCTCAATCAAGTTTTGATGGAACTATAACAGTAACACACCGAATTCCCACCGAAGTCACAATCCCTGTCGTGAATGGACGTGTCACGGAGTATCGTAACGTGATCACTGCTAGCGCAAGCACAGAGGTGTTAGGACCACATCAATATACAGCATCTACAGCTAAGGATGGGAATACAGTACTGTACCTCACAAGTGAAGTGACTGGCACTTTACCAAGCGGAATCACTGAGATTACACAGTTTCTAATCCATGAAACACCAACCACCAGTGTGATATTCACACCAACAATAATTAGAGGACATAAAACATCTTATTCTCACATTATACCAAGCACTGTTTATGATGTTGAACAGGTTGTCAGCACCCTGCAACCACAAGTATCACCGAATGCACCACTGGCTAATATTTTATTATCTCAACTTTTATTGGGTAACCTTGGCTTACAGCCAAACTTAAACCCCCTACTTGCCCTAAACAATCCTGGACCACCACCAACCCCCACAACAGAATTCAAGACGAGGCAAACCACTTACGTGACCACTGTTACTAAAGGGATGTCTACTGTTATTCCACTGACCTTCCGAGGAAAAGAGATCCTTACCACTATTGTGGACAGCTCATCTGAGGTCATTACTGCAACAGAATTCATTACAGACACGATTGTTGTTACACCGACTGCTGCTCTGGGTGCTGGAAGCAACCAACTTAATTCCTTGCTACTTCCTGCGTTGCTTCAGGCTCAGCTGCTCGGTGGACAGTCCCAGCAACCGCCGATGGGATCCAATCCTATATTAGCTGGTCTTCAGCAGCAGCTACTCCAGCAGGAAACAAAGCCAATCCATGACACTTCAACAGAAGATACAGCCCCTGAACCTTCATCTAGACGTCAGCAGAGACCGCCTGAAGAGCCTGACAGGCTTGCAAGAGATTCTGAGAAAGAAATCCTAGATGATGATGCTGTGCAGAATGTTAAGGATGAAGAAACTGGAAGAGATCGTACATTTAAGACTTCAAGAAAGAAATCAAGAACGGATAAGAAACCTCCAGATCCACCTCCAGTACCAGCAGAAACAACTGTTGTAACTCTCTATGTGTCAGGAAGACGGCCTGGTGAGTTCAGTACTGTCATTTCAACAGTAACCGTTGGTGATGAGAGTTCTGCTACTATTAGGAAGCGAGAAGCTGGATTAGCTGTGCCAGAAATGTTCACTGTGGAGGTATCACAAGTGCCTGAGATTGGAGGTTCTTTTCCAACTTCAGATAGTGATGGCTACCTAGATCATTATATCATGTCTGCTATGAACGAAGTATTTGGGCAAGCAAGCGAGACTGAGACTCAGAGCCTGGAAAGTATTGTTGGTGATGTCAGTAGTTACGTCTCATCAGTCATTGGTCAGCCATCCTCATCCAGTAAACTCCACACATTAAGATCTTCCTCAACTGAAAAACCAACCTCATTCTCAACGGATAACAAGAAAAAAGCAGCTAGCAAGAAGATGTTTGCCTCCTCTTTAAAATCTAACTCCTCTACCGGTCATTTTTTATCCAACGGCCCCGCTGAGTTTGCCCCACTCAAGCGGAAGGTCATGAATACAGAAAACAGGGGCATGCTTATCTTGTCAATTAATATGAAACAGAACATAACAAGTAAAACAGATATTCAATCAGCACTTGATTCTGAGAATAGCATACAAGCAGCAATTATTAGAGAAACAGGATCCTTGAGAAGGAAAAGAAATACTGAAGACAGTTTAGGGGACAAAGATGATGGTAGTGTAACTTCAAAAATATCACCCCATCGAAGAAGAAGAGTCAGAGTTAAAGTACCCATAAATAGAAAGAAATTAGACAATAACAGAAGTGTGAATAAGGAAGAAATTTTAACATTATCAGAAGCACAGCATTCTGCTAGAATTCCTGATATGGACATTGGTGAAAAACATATTGATAAAAATGGACAAATAAAAATCTCTCCACAACCTGAATATGGTTCAAGGACAGTAAAAACAATACCTGGAAACATAAGCTTAAGTTATAATGAAGAAAGAAATGATCATCAGAGAAGAAAGGTAATTGTATCACGCCGTAAGAAACCAGGACATTCAACAGCTGATGATGTCCCTGAGGACACTTTCATATCAGGGTCTATACTGGTTATTAACATTACAAACACAGTTAAAGATGAACTTGTCATCACAACATACAGGCCAAAAGAAATCCCATTATCCTTTGGCAGTAACATAGTTGTTGATGACAAAGATCTGTACTTGCTTCCAACTACTGTTAGAGGAAACAAAGTCATAACGAACACAACATCAGGACGTAGACGCGTTGTGGTTACCAAGAAACGGCCTATTTCTGTGACACCAACTCAAAGACGCCGCATTGTGGTGACAAAGAAGAGGCCTGCACCCAGGTTGGACTTGGACATTGTGCCAACAAACGTCACCCCTGACTCTCTGTCTACAGTGTATTCATACAAATACACTGTACCGAACAGAGATGAAGGATTGAGTACTGACACAGGGAACATGGTTAAAGTTTCACAAGTGTCCATAAGTAGAGAGGTTAAACATGAAATCTATAATGATATAGCTTCCGCAGAAAACAGTAAAAAGGACAGTTATAATGAAGAAACTATTAGTCCATTGAAACCAGATTCAAGGTCAGAGAAATCAAACACAGAACAAGACAGTAGCGTTTTAATTTCAACACAGGCAATATATGAAGGGCGGGATTCAAGTCCTTCCGGCAATCTTCCAGTTTCTGAAATGGATACATATAAAAGCATAACCATTCAACCTTCACAGATTGAACCATCATTCCATGCTTCCACTTATGATCCTGAATACGAGACACCAACTTTCAGAGCCTCAACACAACAATTACCATTTGAAATAGCTTCACTGACGATTTCATCAGTCACTCTGGCTGATAGTGAGACAACTATGCCATCAGATTCGACCTCTGTACAGAAGCCTGAAAAAGATTATGAATCTAGCAGTACAGGAACTGATCATGACACAGAAGAAAACAAGAAACACATACTAGAAAAGGAGGATAATGAGGAAGATCAAAAACATGAGAGAAACACTATGGCTTCTGGTGAAATTACAATTGAATCACCAAACATAAATGAAGATAGTTTAATTTCGTTAACAGAAGGGAGCTCATCTGATGGTCCACGACTTATCCGTCCAACACGCTTCAGCATTACCAGACGGCCTGGTCGTACAAAGCTAACTTTCCCAGGCAGACGTCGTACGTCAGTTTCAACACCCTCATCTACAATTGTCAGTCATAGTATCTTTAGTAGTAGTGGTAATTACAAGTCATCATATAAAGGCAGGCGACCCTCATCCTCTTCCAGAACATTTGGGCGCAGTTCAAAAACCCACATACATCTATACACAACACCCACAACCAGAGTTCTTATGGAAGCAACAGTATCACAGTTTGATAAGATTCCTTCTCATAGCCTTTCAAATTCCTCTTCAAACACCCTGTCTGATGGCAGTTCTATGAAGATTCACACAAATACTGAGTCTTCCTCTGAGAACTTACCAAATTCATTGTCAGTAACACCAACTCTAGCAACCACAACCAGTTCTCCAGTACCAGACATTAGTTCAACAGTTGTGATGGAGACAGTGACTTCAACAAGACTTAGAACATATACGTATATTGTAACTCGAGTGGCTGGTCAGGAGCAAGTTGTCACATCCACCACAGAGGTGAAACCTCATGTAACAACCTTCACTGTAACAAAGACATTGCCAATATTGGCAACAGGTGAGTCCTTCTCCTCTTCACTTTCTCTATTTTCATCCTCCACCCATCTGACACATTCCTTTGATCACCTCTCATTTTTTCCTGGATCAACCTCTTTCATATTCTTCATCTTTAGTTGTTAAAATGTCTTAGTTTTACTTCCTTCCATACTTTCTATTTTCATACTTGTGTAGTCTCTACAGTCTATAATCTTTTCTGTGTCCAATTTTTTGGATATGATTGGAGACTTCTTAACTACTTCACACAGCCTACTGGTTATAATTTTCTGTGTCTACCAATTTATATTTTAGTTAAATTTTCTAATTACATTTATTTCATTATAAAAGCTATGATGTTCAGTTTTAGAAGAATAATGTTTAAAACTAACAGAAAAGTACATCTTTGCAATATGGTGACCAGTTACTTATGCCTCTTTTGCTCTGTCTTCATTTAAATGTCCTGGTTACAGCATTTACTGATACACACCTGTAATTTTGATAGTAAAGGTAGATCTTAGATATCTTCGTAGTATTTTTATGAATTTTCATATTTGTACAACAGTATGTATTGGGTTAGACTAGCTTAATTGATGATGTGTTTGTGTTGGGTCTGGTACAAATATATATAAAACATGAAATTAGAGATGCGCTAGCACGAGATGATGTATATATGTGTATGCTAGGGAAGGTCAAATACATTGCAAAATTGTTCCCTTAACCTAACCCATGTATGAATATGGCAAAAGGAAGATATGGTGCATTCCAACAAACAGTATAGTTGCATACAGGAGTTTGAGTGCCACAAGATTTATCTACTGCATTGCATTATCTGCACTCAAAATGTAAACAGTCTACAGAGGTTGTGACTCAAATGCACATCAACCTACATAGTAGAGTAATGCATAACAACATAAGAATATCATCCCCATTCTTAGTATCTTAAATTAAAGAGCAAGGATTTCTGAGTGGAACTCACACAGCTTACTTTTCTATTGCACAAACTAGGAGTCCTAAAACTCTTGTAATGTGAAATTCAGTTCAGCTCATGTTTTGTCTACATTAAAATTTACAGGCATAACATCAAATTTCTGCACCACTGCCACATTTATAATTGTTGACTTATATGTGTAAATATCAATTCATACAAAATTTCTAAGCATGAACAGTCTATGTCCACTTTAAATTTTGCAAGCCTAGCTCCAATGGTTCATTATTTACTGCCATCAAAACTCTGGTTAGTAAAACCATTCGGAACAAGACAGATTCAATATATATCAAGATGGCTTATACAATTACCTCTATTCAAATAATCTGTATATGCATGGCATATCTGCATGTAACTATCAGCATAAATGGCATTAAAATCTGGAAAAAAGACTTGAGAGTTCTTTCTTGTGTGTAAAAATGTATATTACTAACTTATACCCAAAAAATAGTTGTATTTGAACAAAACTAGAACTTTAAGCAATACCTTCATTCCATAAATTCCTGAATGTTCCATGCAGAGCTGAATGGACCAGCTGAGGGACGTGGATTGAACATGAATGGTGCAGGAGAAGCACGATATAATCTGGCAACCAAGGTCATGAGTAATGGTGTGGAGGTGATTGTAGCAGGGGACAGGAGCACTATGCCTGGGGAGCCAGAGGTTTTACGTGTACTGTCCAGTTCCTTGTCTCGCCCCATTACACTGGCACCCAGCACACTCACAGATCACATGGTGCTCTTCCTGCCACATGAGAGTTCTCAGGTAACTAAGTAATCTTAACTTTGAATATATTTTAACCTAATTTTGAGCTGGTGTAGCTCAGCCATTAAAGTAGCACACTACAGGATGGATGACTCCAGTATGATTCTTGGAAATGACTTATCCTTCATCATCACATTCAGACTACCTGTGAGGCCCACACAACCTCCTAACTCATGGGTGCCGGATGCTCCTCCCCAGGGGTAAAATGGCAGAAGCATGAATCTGACCATATACTTCTGTCTAGGCCAAGGTTAAGAATGCATGGAACTTTACTTCAACTGCAGTCTTCCAAATACATGCAAAGATTATCAAAGTCTCTTACTGTCAACATTAATTGAACAAATCTTTCTCCTACCTGAATTTATATATGTCTACATGTCTATTTAATTAAAATATGACTAAATATGCTGCCACAACAGTTGAGCCTTCTTTTGAAACAATTAAACAAAAGGCAGCAAATCTGTCAAAAAAAAAAATTCTTCACTTGTCTGCGTTAATACTGGAAATTAATATCACTTACTTTGGTTTATACCACATCATTCATTTATGTACTAGCATATTTAATTATAGTTAAATGACTGATTAATGGTTTTAAAGTTTATTACAGTGCAGGTTATTTGTGACAGAGGTAATTATAGTTACAGCACGTAACTTCACTGTAAGTATTTTGTCACAATTTTACTTACACTCATGTATCTAAAAATGTACAAACTTCTGTGCTGCTAAAATTCACTCAGGAAGTATGCTCCACAGTTTAGGGACTTCTGATTTGAAAGTTTGGCTATAAATTTAAGTGGTAGTATATTCTGCAACAATCATATTACATAATAAATACTGAGCTCACATGGAGAGACATAAAGACTCTGGCCTGTCCTTAGATGTGGAACCAGGATTCAGAATCAGCATATCACTTCTAGTTGTGAGAAGTTAGTATAAGCAAAACTACCAAAATAAATACTGTGCCGACCTTAAAATGACTTACAATTAATATAAGGTACAGTTGTTCCTGTCATTAACTAATTAAGCACTACGCCAAAGAGATGTATGGAGGAGTGGATGTATAGAGCCATGTATTCTTGATCTCAGCACTAGTTGGAGGTGATTAGTCAGATGGTTGACCCGGCCTCTTTATTCCTGGGGAAATGCTGCTGGATTGGCCAAAGAACCAGTCTGGATGATGTGGAGAGGAGAAAAATCTTGCTCTTGACAAAAACTCTGATCCCTCAGCCATCTAGCCCATTGCTAGTTGTCATACCAATTACGCTATCCCAGCTCCCACAATTAATATATATGGTAATTTATATGCATTATACAGACAGATTTCAATTATAAGAATCTGACGAATTACAAAATATAATATTCTTCATTAACCATTATGTGCCTTATAGGATACAGTTATCCTATAAGTGAGACATACATGTTGAATGTGAAATATTGATCAATTTGTGCAGGTAATGACCAGGTAAGAAATTTTGAGTTGTTTCAATGGAAATCGCTTATCAGGCACTACAAATCAACGCATCATGGGACATAACTATCATATGTGCCCCCAATTTCCAGGTTCATAAATGTTTCAATAGTTCAAATTCCACACATTATAATAAAAGAATACCAAATATGAATCTAAAAACTCTAATAATGGGATGCAATGGACTTGATACATAATTACAAAAGTTCTAACCATGGTGCCATAATAGCAGAAATTTAGTTACCAACTTAATTTTCAAAACTCAAAAATTGTAACATACAAGTATGTTTCATCTTGATTTAACATGGAGGAAATATAAAGTTGAGAAGTTTCAGCGAATCAACAACATGTAAATGTATTTAAAATCCTAAATATGGAGAACTAAACTCATGGAAACCAACTAACTCCATGAACCAGAGTCATTCCTGAGAAGCTAACATCCATTCACCAGGAAATTTCCTTGTCTTTTATGGAACCTGCAGGTCAATTATTGTGTTCATAAAGCCTGCCAAAGCACCCTATCTGGAAACAGCTGAACCAATTCTTGCCCTCGCATCCTAGTTCCTTAATATCCATCGAAACTTTACTCATATTATTGTATATGCATAAAAGTTAACCAAATGCAAATACCTATATAACGCATTTCATTAATTTAAATGAGCTTTAAAGATCATGATGTACAATTTCCTTTAGATATCTCTTAAGACAGCGAACTAAGTTCATTATGTGTAAAACATTGCTTGTCATACGAATATTTTCTATCCACAGATTGAAGCCCAACTATCCTCATCGCTGCAACACAATGCTTTTGTAACAAAGACCTACCTTACTACATATACATATTTAACAACGTTTCTGCAAGATGGCTTGACAACTATTTCAAGTAATGAGAAGATAGTCTCCAACATTGTTACAGAAGAACGGACAGGCACTAACACGATAACACCAACACCCATAACTGGAGTAACCCTTTCCGCAAGTCCATCTCTTTTCACAGGGGTGTTTCATACTACTTATACATATCTCAACACTTTGATTGATGGAGATGTTCCACTGGTTGTTACATCACACCACACTGTAGCTAACACACTGACAGCACCCCATGACTACTTGCTTCAGTTGCAGCCATCAGGACAATCCACATTAGATACAAACACATATCTGAGTACAGTAGCGTTCACCAAGACACTAACAGATGGTGCTGATGTGAAGGTAGTCAGCACTAAAGATATCTTAACACAGGTTGTCATAACAGAGTCTGATAAGCAAGCAACTGATATAAATGGCATCACATCAGAGAACGGTCCTGCTGCATCACGTCCGTCAGCCCAACAAGGCTCCATAACAAACGTTGTCAAGACATACTTTGTGACATATACGTATTTTAGCACATTCCTTGAAGGAAGTAGTACTGTTATACGCACCAATATTGCAACTTCTTCAGATGTAGTAACAGAGAAGTTTTATGTATCACCGAAACGTACAACGTCACCAAGTGTAATTCCAACAAAAAGTAAAGAAGAAATAAAGATTACACCAACTTCTAAGACAGTTGATAAAATTGATTCTCAGAAACAGTCACTTCATTTATATGCAACAAAAACATATTTAACTACTTTTACTTATTTCACAACTCTGCTGCAGGATGGTGGGGGTGATCGTACATCAACCATTGTCAGTTCAAGAACAAGAATTGTTCAGAACATTGTTACTGAATCTGTAGACAATAGCCTTCTTGATCCAGAGTATTTAGATTCACTTCGTAGTTCAATCTATGCAGATTCTGTATCAAGCTCTTCAATAGTTGCCACAGCTACACTCTCAGGTGGGCAGGAGTTGATGATCACAGCCATGGATCATGATCTGCGACCAACTTCAACAATGGACACAGAAGTTACTCCAACATTAATTCATCATCAACTCTCATCATCTATGGAGGATGCAAGCCATAATGTCAACAACATTATCAAAGGTTCAACCATCATTTTCTTTGATGAGGAAGATCAGATAGACAGCTCAAGCACATCACGAACTCTAGCTGTAGAAGTGGGAGGTCACACCAAGGCGACTCCATCTCTTAGCAGTGTTCTGTCAATTAGCAAGATCCAGAGTACACTTGTAAACACAGAAGCTGCAACAGCATTATTCCCACAGGATGTAGCTGAGGCTCAGCCACTTGTTAGTTCCTCTACTCCAGCACTTCAAGATTCTGTTGCCATTGTACTGCCTAGTTCCCTTCCCATAACATTTTCACCTGTCTCATACCTTACGTCCATTTTAGCAACATCCACTATAACACCAAGTGGAGCCACTTTGCAACCAGGGGAGCAGGTGATTATGATGACTCAGTCTGGGGGAAACATCACCATGATTCCTGTGTCAGACCCCACAAATAAGAAACCCTCAGGGGGAATAGGTCCAGGTGGAAGTGAAATTCAAGTAAGTGATCTGCTGAGTTTGGGATCACTTGGCATCAATGGTCTGAATGCTTTGGGTCCTGTAATTAATGCAATGGCTGGTATAATCCAGAGTAATCTGAATAATGACAAGAGACGCAATGACACAGCTGTTATAATTGTGCCTTCATCTACTTCCAAACCAAGACCTATATATTATGGAGATAATGGAAATCCCCTACCCATTTATATCCCTCCTAAAACTGATACTGCACAAGATCAAGAAGGGACAACACCAGTAAGATCGCCAATCTACATTCCAGTAGGCGCAGTTGCTGGAGATGACATGGAAGATGTGGCTACAGCAGAAAGCCAAAAGTATGAAGGTATTGCTAACCTAAATGGTGACATTAAATGGCCAGATAAAGGATTCCCTGATACAAATCAACGTCGTCCTGTGGATTCTGCAGCAATGGGTCGACCAATTGAGAGTGCGCTCCTGGGTGATGGTATTCCCATCAGTCCTGGCCAAGTGATAACAGCTAACAGTGATGTAATCGTTGGGAAACCAGCAATAATGGGCCCACGACCACCGAAAATTAGCAGCAACAAGGATGAAATTCCTTTAGGAATGAAACCTCCACCCCCACCTGCATCACCAGCATGGCCAAACAGGGACATACTTTCTGGTCATTCACCAATTAGAGAACATGGCTCAGGACACATTCCTCTCAGAGATACAATCCTGCTTCCACCAAACAGAAGCCACGTACCACTGAAGGATCGTATACCAGTACTGGAGCATGGCTATCACTCCTCCCCAGATAATCTCCAACCAGAAGATGGAATACCACTTTTACCACCACCAGTGGTTAAACCAGACATCAGTGGTCATCTGCCAAGTATGCGAGAGAACTATAAGGAATCAAATAAACAAATTCTGCTTACTCCTGCTAAAGCATCTGCAATCTCTGGTCTGCAAACACTGTTGCAAGGCAAACCAATGACTCAGGGAAATGATATAATACATGGGAACCCTATGCCAGTGTTTGCTCAAACAGAGCCAAATTCACTTGATCGTTCATCAGGTACACCATTGTTGGTTAACATTCAACCATCACAAATAGCAAATGTGATCATACCACACAGCGGCTCTACAGTTTCTCATGCCTTCAGTAACCATGGTAATAAATTTTATGACCCATCACCATATCCTTCACCTGAGTCCAACCCTGGATTTGTTGGCACAGGTGGGCTAGAAAATGAGCCACACAATAGGCATCCTGAGCATCATACATCCCATGTTTCCCAGGTGAGCGGAACAAGGATGGATTTGCCACCACAAGAGTCTGAAAACACAAATCATGCAAATGATAATATTTCACAGCAAGACATAAATGTAGAGATAAGTCCTGGTCAAGGAATCAATGTTGATGTGAGTCCAGCTCATGGAATTAATGTTGATGTTAGTCCTGGACAAGGAATAAATGTTGATGTTAGTCCAGGGCAAGGATTGAATGTAGAGATAGCACCGGGACATTTCTCACTTGACGGAGAACATATGTCACCAAGTGGAATTGTTCTTGATGTACCACTTCAAGGCAGACCAGGTATATCAAATAGAAGGCCCATTCCAAATGTAAACAGTCACCATCACAGGCCCTCACGACCACTAACCCAGCAATTACCGCCTCTCCGACCTCATGTTAATCACCATGCTGCTGTATCTACACAACCCCTCCACAGTCATCCATTTTCACATCATCCAATGACACCAACAGATTTCATGATCCCTCCTCCACCACCTCACACACATGTAAAACCTGATTCTTTCCACAACTCTGGAAACTTCCATGGCCCTGTCATTCCTCTTAATCCAACTGGAATGCTTCCTCCAGGCCCTAAGACACAGGATCATCTAATACAATCAGATGAAAATGACGACCCAGTAGAAGTAGAGGGAGGTGAAGTTATCCAAGAATCAAACCAAAGGCCGTTAAGACCTGGCCAAATTCCAGTAGAAGTTCTAGTTGCTAATTCAGTGTCAACACATCGCCCTGTAGTAGTAAGGCCGGGTACAATGCTGGGAGCTAAACATGATGAAGCTCTCCATCAGATGAAACCACCACAATCAATGTTTGACAAACCACTGCTACCTGACAGACTTTCGAAACCAAACTTTGATAACAGACCACACAAGCCAGACTATAAACAACACGCTCATGTTCCACCCGCCACCGAACAAAGACCACAACATAATAAACCTCAACCAAACTCTGATAAAGAGCAATATTCAACTAATGCTGGTGAGTCAATGCAAAAGTTTGGACCAAATGAAGGACCAAAGTTCCCAAATTTTGAAGAAATACCACAACATTCTAAACCTGAAGTGATAATTGAAGACAGACCACATACTTCAAACAATAAGAATTATATGGTGGAAAAAACAGTTACATCTTACTTAGATGGAATCTCACATAAAGTACAGCCTCAGAACCATCAACCAGAACTTCCTGACACCAAACTGCACAGTGATTTTGAGCAGCAGTTTGAATTTGGCAAATTTGATGAAAATTTTCAATCCAATAAAACTGAAAGAATTAACTTCAATGGTGGAAATCTGAACCACAGACCTCAACAGCCAATCTTTGACAAACATGATGACTTGCATAAGTTGGACAGACCTTCAACATCAGAATCACTGTTTGATTTGGAAACTCAAGCCAATACTCCACGCCCATTTCATGTCCTTCCAGCTGCACCAAAGAGACCTGAGTTTGAATTCAATTCAGATGAGCTGGTTGTAGGTCTTCACCCCCCACCACGAGTCACTCCAGGTGGGAGCAGTGGGCAGCGCTTTCCTATGGTAGGTACTGAACCCCAAGTCTCATCTCACAGACCAGTTGTCATTATGGGTAATCACAGGAGACCACCCACCAGGAACAAGCCACCACCATACAAATTTGAACTGCCACCTACAACAGAACTACCAACTACCACACAGAAAACAAATGACAAGAGACCATTCTGGATCCGCCCAACTTTGCATAATATTCACAGTCCAGTAGGCACCCATTTAGACAGTGTGACTAAACCAAATGAAGAAGAAGATAAAAACTCTGTTAAGAAACCATCCTTACCTGTAGATTCAAACCAGACTCAAAGACGTCCAGTCACAACATGGAGACCACCTCTGCCTCCAGACAGACCAAGGCCACTGAGACCTTCCACTTCACAGCCAACAGAATCTAACAACTCCCACAGTTCTGCAGCATCTGATGATATCTCAGCAGGTCTCGGTAGCCACAAAATTACAGCTGGTGCAGTGACACCTCTTCTGTCTGATTCTGAATCTGTGCTACAAACAGTTGTCATTGGAAAACCAATACCGCAAGAACCTGTGATATCACCATCGGCAGTGAATGATTCTGGAAAAAGGAAAACAACTTACAGTACAGAATTATTGTGGAATGAAGACATTATAGTTGGTTCTGAAAGTCCACTAATGGCAGAGAAGGGTCATACTACAGTATCTGAAAACATTCAGAGAAAGAAGACATCAACTCCAATTGCTACAGCCACTTTAATTTCATCGGGGTCAAAGACCATATATGGCAGTCTCTTCACAAAACCTTCAACTACAGTAGTCAAGCCATCTAAAACAGCTGAACACAAACCCAGTACAAGTTTGGTCAATAGTCATTATGAAGAAAATGAATCATTCCATCACATTAACAATGACAGTGACATTGAAGATGATGTGTTACTTAAGAATAAGGATAGTCATAAGCTGGATCTAGGTGTTGCAAGCTCCCATGATGAGAAGATCATTTTTAGCAGTGCTCCTGAAATCCCAACACGTTACTTGACTCACACACACACCCATACAGTAACTCTGACAGAGACAACGGTAATCAGCAGCCACGGGCATGAGCCTTCAACACAGACTGTTGTCGTTACAAAGACACAAACATCTACTATTGTAGATACTGTCACTGAAACAGAGATCCACACTTTGGTACGCCCTACAAGCGTTGTTGCTACAGTTACAACTACAGTTTCCACAACTCCCACTGTGTATCCCCCTGGATCACCATTTGACCCTGCTAATTATCCATCTTTCCCCGTCAAACCTGTCTTATCATCACCAATGCAAGAAGCAGGAGAAAAGAACAAGGAAGAGCAGCTCAAACCTACCAGCACTTCAGAAGGAAATGAAGCTTATAAGGAGAGCCACAGCATAAGAAAAGAAAACAACACCAGCAAAACAGGAATACTTGCTGGTAAGTGTGTACTTCTTTGCTTCCTTACCTAACATTTTACTTTTTTTTTATTTGCATCTGTAATTGCATGAGTCTAGTCATGGGAAGTCTGTGAAGGGAGGAAGATATTCTCACCAACAACCTCTCAGGGGAATATAAATATCTAAACTTAACAAAGACAAAAACAACTCCGTCTAGTGTGACTATTTAAGTTTTATCACTTGAAAACTCATCACAAGTGATAAAACTTAAATAGTCACACTAGACAGAGTTGTTTTGTCTTTGTAATCGTTAGTGTGATGGACCAGAATGAAACAAATCAAATTCATCTAAACTTAACTTTCCAGATCCCAGTGAGCACATTTTATCAGTGCTTTCATATTTACTAAAAGGCTGGTAATGAGGTAACAGACATACAGATAACAAATGGATGCATGGACAGGAAAAGGGATAATTTCCACATACTGTATTTTTCCCTAAAGCATTGTGATTGATAAAGACATTTATGTTGGACACTGACCCTCATCTAAAAGTATATCTGACAGTCAAGACATTATGGTAGTTCACCCTGTTTCCATTTTTTCTGTTACTTGTACATTCTGCCCTGTGAAAAACCAAAGAAACGTAAGCAACTGCAGTCAAATTAACATTCTATTACATCTGGAAATTTATTTCTTAGTTTTAATTTTTACAATATGAAGACCAAACCTCTATAACACTTTAATTTATTAGTAAAATTATTTGTGATAATTTTTTTACCCAATTCCAGTCGTGTCTGAAATTTCATAATGTACATTTCTAACTTTTGCTCCTGTGTATTTACCTGTCATTTAATGAATTATTCACTAAGTGGCAATGCCAATATGAAATTTTGTTTCCAGTAAAGGTAATTCTTTTATGTGTGATTCAATGTTCAGATCTTTCTGTCAGGTCACTAGAACAGTCATGTTTTTGTGAAATATCAAACTCAAAATTTTGTTGATCACAGTAATGTACTTTAAAAGTATTGAAATTCTGGTAACACAGAAGTTTCGTCAATTTATTAGAAAAAATAACTGTTGAACTTGCGAGAATAGCTTGTTACAATGTTTCACTGTTAACAATTTTAGACTGAATAGAGCACTCTTCAAAGTCTTCGTTGGTCTCAGCATCCTCCTGATTTATACCAAACAATCCATTCAGATATTTTTTCATCAATCATTGTACCAAGATGGTTTATTCAGCAGGCCCATTAACACACAATATCATGTAGTTACTATAGGATTCTGACGATGGTGTATAACACACAGAGATATTGGGTTTTCAGACTTTATCCATCATCCTGGCCTTTAAGATAACTAAGAAAAACACGATGTTTCGGAAACTGGATCTGTTTCCGTCCTCAGGTAAGGGAAAACACCTATTCTGTTGGGTCTCTTAGAAAAAGCTAGCCTCAATCACTGGTCCAGTGAATGGGTGTTTTCCCTCACCTGAGGAGGGAAACAGATCCAGTTTCTGAAATGTCGTGTTTTTCTTAGTTATCTTAAAGACCAGGACAATGGATAAAGTCTGAAAACCCAATATCTCTGTACATAATATTATGTTTAACAATAATTCATTTTTACTGCAAGGATATAAAATTATTAGATTACATTTGTAATTTTTGGAGGTGCTAGTTTATGGGGGGGGGTTACTGTAAGTCAGTTCTGATTACTGGGTGTTTGGATTACCAAGAGTCCACTGCAAATACACAGACTGTCACACTAAATATATAAATTATTTAACTGCTAAATCTTCACAATAATTTGACAGAACACATTCCAATGTGGAAGATGAAGAGAGATAGGGCAGCTAATTGATTATGTAGAGGAGTACAAATGCATCATTCATCCACCTTATTAAAACTAGTTTTAAAATATATCAGAATCTTGAGAGGCTGAGAGAAACAATCGAGCACTTAAACGTGAAGAAACTCTAAAATGCCTGTCTTCAGTAATATCAGATGAGTGAATGGCAATGCAGGATGTTTTCAGTGTGTGTTTATCTTTAGGTCTTCTTATAATTTACTGCTTTTTCTCTACCTCTGTACAATGATGAAAACTGCAGTTGATATTACATGTCATTCTTAATTGCATTTTGAAGGTGGTGCTGATGAGAATGAGTCATTCTTTGTAGTGGTGAATGACCAAAAGCCAGCAACTATACATGTTAACAAGGTCAGCAAAGGTGGAGAAGATTACAGTGAAGCTGCAAATCATGACGAAACTATTCCCAACAGTGAGGTAAACCATGCAGTATTGCTGGGTGGTGTGCTAATAGCAGCACCTCCACATCACAATACACCTTCCACCCACTTCAACAACAGAGATCAAGGAAGCAACTCATGCCGGCCAGACTGCAGTGCAGCTCGAAATGAACTGTGTCAGAAAGTAGAGGGGCACATGAAGTGTGTCTGTAGACCTGGTTTTGCAAGAATGTTCCCTGATAGGCCATGTAGATGTAAGTAATTTTGGATATGTTAACTACTTTCATGAGGTGTACAAATGGAATAATGTGTGGGCACAAGACATAAATATTGTTCTGAAAAGTTAATATAACCTCATCAGTGAAAGGATGTTGATAGCAGTATCTGCTTCAATTTGGAAATAAGTAACATTTTAACGCATACTCCTTTGGGGATCCAGTGCCTTGGGGTATAACTGGGTCACTCTGTTCTTGGGGGATACAAATACAGGAACCTGGTCCTTCAGGTTTGATGAGACCTGAATCTGAGACAGTAAAATATGATCATGAATTCTGTGGGACTCTGATCTGAGAATGACTGTGCTGGCAAGGGACAGCAGCAACTGTAAACGACAGACCCCTACTCTCATCAGAGAGAGTGTCCCAAATCAACAAACCCGGAACTGTCTCACACTAACAAATATCTGGTCTTGGACCCCAGACTGGGGCTTGACACCAAGAGAGACTGGCTGACTGACAGTCGAACGTAACATAACTGTGACTATGACTTTTTCATCAGGAAGGTTTCTCCTCCAATCAAACCACCCCTGGAGTAATCTTTGTGGTGGCATTGCACAGTAATACCCACCAATAGCAGCAGTCTCATCCACCCACGATTGCACAGGCCTGCACTGCCAAAGTGGGAGAAATGGTTGCCCAGCTTTCCTTGACACACAACCAACAAATACCAAGGCATTCAATTCAGACTCCTCATGTAAACAGCTCATTTCTGAACGACATGGTCGATGAAGTCACAACGGAATTTCAGCAGACCATGATGAGCTCAATGGGTCCGATTCAGAGGAAGAGAGAATAGTAGCCATCATAAAAATTGTACTAAAACTCGTGAAATGAAATTGACATGTACTGCTATCACGGTGACAAATGACAAACCTTTCCTCTCTTCAGAGAGGGAGTCTCACATTGACAAAATGACAACTGCCTGACAGTAATAAAAATCTGGTCTTGGGCCCAAGAAGGGGCTTGGCACCAAGACTGACTAACTGACTGACTGTCTGTCATAATGTGGCTCTGACTTTGAAGCCAGTCAATTGCACCTGACAATCAAGAGGTGTAAGGCAGTCACCACCTAGCAAAGACATTAGCATAGAAGCAAAGGAATATCCACTGTTGGGAGCTGCTACCTAGCAACAGCCAGTGAAGACTATTAACAGGCAGACTCAGTGTGTGCTACAGCGTGTACATTTGTAATAGTGTTATAATCCTTTCTAGTTATGAGTTACGTGTTCAGTAAATCCAATTACCAATCCAGACTGCATGTTGAGTCACTAACACGTGACAGAATTTCTTAATTTCCATCCAGGGGTATTGCAAGTTGTGAATTATAGTAAACTATTTTCTGTTATAACACAAATTGTTAAAATATTTCTATAATTCGTAATGGCTTTGCAGGTTAAGTTACTACTCTGCTTTCTGCTGGCACTGGACTTTTCTTCAGGCAACAGTAGTAAAAATGCATACTCCCATTCAGTGCACACAGGGTTTACAAGTGTTTTCTTCATAATCTGACATCCCTCATTTGTCGATGTTGTGATATACTTTGATCTTTACACCAACATGAGAGTAACTATTTTTCAGTATTATATATCTCAAGATTCTGCCATTCAGCAAGCACTTATGCTTGAAGAAAAGTTAAAAAATAACAGAATGCTGTTGGATTGTCCACCCTTCATCATACACTAAACATGAATCTTCAGTCTGAAGAGAAAACGTACTTCATTAATATTTAATAAATAACAATATGCAATTCTTACACATCTATTGATAGATTCTGAACAGCAGAAGGGTTTTTTTTATAAAGATGAGCAACATTTTAACCATTACAGTGAGAGCTCAATCTTTACAGCATATAAGAAAAAGGAAATGCTAACATGCATATAAAGGGCAATTAATATAGATATACTGACGTGAATAAACATATATATAGGTAAAAAAATGTATTTAACAACAGAACTGAAAATGTCTTACTAGTATGAAACAGAGTAAAATTTTAAATAGGTGCACAGATCTCTCCTCCTATTAGTATAAGATATTATTTATATCACAAGTGAACCTCTACACTAAGAACTTGGGATGCAAGTAGAAACTGATATCCATTTAGTTAATATATAAAATGGATACTGGGATTGTTACCTTAAGTATTAAATATAAAAACTGACATATTTCAAAGTATTCATTCTTCTATATGTATAATACAAACTCTGTCGCAAATGTAACACTTTATTGTAGTTCTTGTTCCCCTTCTTTCACACTACATGTTTTGGCCACAACCGGCCATCATCAGGTGCATTTCGCTTCACGTAGCTGCCACACTGCACTCAATATTAATATTTAAACTCCAGATTCCCAATTGTTCTTTGCTCTGTCGTCAATCGGTATCCGATATTCCAGAATTCCCCTTGTGATTTTTGTCAGTTATATTTAAAATCTTTATTAATATTCACACATCGATTGGTTTAAAATTTTTAATTCCCAATTTAGCTTTAATATTTAAAATTTGAATTTAGATTTAAAATCAAAATCACATCACAGAGATACCTGCTCTATGCTTATGTGTGCTGCAGCGGCTACCTCTTGCTTTCAGCACAACTAGCGTGTTATTTTGTGCAGGTGCTCTGTGTGCGTGCCACTGCTTTTCTTTAATACGTTTTCAACGTTTTAAACATAACTGACAAAAATCGACAAGGGAAATTCTGGAATATCAGATACCGATTGACGACAGAACAACGAACAATTGGCAATCTGGAGTTTAAATATTGTCGCGTATCAGGCGTATATCGCGACAAATAACTTCACGCCGTATTTTGTATAGCGAATTTTATTTCACATTCGCACTTACAATCACCCAAATTACAGATTTACGATTACTGCTATCTGCAGTATCACAATTAGTACACTCCAAATGCCAGAATACAACTGACTAGTTGCTGGCTAACTCGGCGGTAGCTCCAGGACTCACTGACTGACTCAGTACAACTCTGTGAATAGCCTTCGCTGCTCCCTATGTAGCCTCGATC